TTGCCTCCCTTGTTCAGGCAATAGCTGCAACCAAGAGCGGGGCAGAGAGCCAAGCACATAACACGGCTTCAGCAACGTGAAATCCAACCTGTCTGTCTCTGCCTGAGGAAGCCCTGCTGGGATAAATGCCCCAATCCATCTCTTCTCTAAAGAGGAGCTGAAAAGTGGGTTAGATCCTGCTGCTGGCAATACTGTGTTGGGGCAGGTCTCTGCTAGGAGCTGACAAATGATTGGAGTCATCAGAAAAAAGAAATGTTGCTTCTACAGCAAAGTTCCCAGAAATCACCATCTCCCTGCACGGAGGAAGGTGGTGGGCAGCTGGGAGGGGTGGGAGGCCACAGGAGTCAGCACATGCAGGACCTCATGGCCAGCCCTGATCTTGCTGAACTCAGCTCCAAAGTCACCCTTGTTCACACTTGTGTCCTTGTGTCACCTTTTCCTCTCCTCGGCTGCACTGCTGGTATCTTCCTCCTCCCCTTTCCCCCGAGATGGTGATTTTTTCTTTTCTTCTTCCGTCCTTAACAACCAAAACAACATACAGAAGTAAAGGTGAATAAAGTTAATTTCAAATGCCAAATGGCAAAGCTCAGAGGTTTTAAAAACTGTTTGTTTTATGGAAGTACTTATTAGAAACCTGCACAAACAAGTCACTATCTGCTCTGCGATACCAGAGCAGATGTGACAGAGTGGAAAAGCTTCTTTCCTGCCAAAGTATTTGCTGGAGATGTGATAACAAGGTGCCACTGTAGAACAGCGGGTAAAGGTCCAGAGTAGGAAGGGGAAGCAGGAGGCACCCAGGCGGTGCAGGGCTCTGCCTCTGCAGGCTACAGCTCCTCCCCTGAAACTCCTGCCCCTAGAGCTGGGTTGGATCCCGTGGGAAGGCAGCTAGCTCTTCTGTCCTGTCTTCTTACCTGCAAACTCTGACAGCCCATCTTGTCCCTTCATTTCTGTTAGAGGACTGGAAGACCCTTCTAGCTTTCCTATGCACTTCTGGGGAGAGCATTAAATTCAGCACTCACTCAACCGACACCTGAAACTTAAGCACAAGAGCTCCAATTTCCAATATTTGTACTGACAAACTTCCAAGGATTCCTGTGGATTTCATCCCTCCCTATTTCCCCCTAGATACTAAAGCCCAGTGTTCTGCAAATACTAACACCGTGTGTTTTGCGAAAACAGTTGAGTTGGAATGGCAGATCCTAAAGACATAGAGCAGCCTGTGCCCCACCCTCAATAGATGCTCTTATGTTTTGGTTCTAAATGAGAAGCAACTGGTTTCCTGCAGCTAAGGGAGGATGGGGAAGTTTGAGCTGCATTCTCTCGTTCTCAAAACTCACCTGCTTTTTATCCCCGACCAAAGAAAACTCACCACAAAATATTCAATACACACAGAACATGCATCAGGCAATAACTGCATCTTTAGTCTGATAAGGTAACAAGTCTCCTGTGTAAATCCCCAACGTCGTCTTCAAACTCAAAACACAGTCTCAGTAAAAATCAATCTCAAATTGCTTGAGGATGTATCTGGAGTCACTGCTATCTTAAAAACCAAACAAACTTAAAAGGCAGTTTATCTTAACAGCCTTTACTAGGCCCATATGAATAGGCAGGTTTGATCAGATAAGAGAAATGCTTTAACCATCCCAATGACATCTCAGTGCCTTTCTCTTACTATCAATTGGTATTTCACATCAAGGTTTGAAAAGATTCCCACCACCTTGAAGCTCCCTTCAATTGTCTGTATGCTTTTATTTTGCAGTGTCTTTGGACTCCTCATCCCAGAAGCCTCCTCAGTGGTGACCGTGGCCCATGGGTGCACGTAGCTGCTTCCATTTCTCACAGCCAGCCTGAAACCCACCGCCTGAGCCAGCACAGCGAGCGAGCTGCTTTCCCTCCCTCCACCCTTTTCAAACACTGCTGCTTTTAGCCCATTTATCTGCCTTTGGGGGCGATATGTAATCAGAGCAGGAGTCCCAATGAGAAATACAAAGTGACTCTTTGGAGTGCTTGGCTTTGAAAACCATTCCGGGCGCTGATCAAGGAGTGTCACAGCTGCCCCTTCATTTGCTTTGCCTTCTGCCCTGGCTCTGTCAGCACCAGACACATGGGAAGAGTCTCTGGGATGTTCACAGGCCCATCTTGCTCCAGTAAAATCTGCTATTATTTATGTCAGCACGTGACCCTCGTCTGATATAAAGGTAAGGACACAGACTGACTCATCCACCCCACTGTCCAGGGGACTCTGCTCTAGTCTTTCTTAAGCACAGAGACCAAAAATCCCCATCTATGGACTCTGAAAAAGTGGTAGATTTGTTGTAGTTGGAGACAACACTCTAAACTAAACTGATCAATGCTTTCACTCATGCATCCATAGTGCCAACGCCGTCAAGAGACTGAAACACACATTCACTCCTTCATTACAAAAAACGGAGCCACTCCCTAATTAATTACAATTAATGCACAATAATGCTGAAATCCCATTTATCACAGGTCTGTGCTCCCCAAAGGACTAAACTTGCTGTGATCAGAGAGACATCCCTTGGAACAACCTAGACAAGGAAGAAAAGACATCCTGCTGTAATTCTTCCCACAAAGTTCTTGTTTAATTAAGTGGTTTTCCACATCTGCTTATATGTCCTTCTTGGCAATCTAAGAAATCTAATCCTGTTATTAATTCTCTTCCGTTATAATAACGAGAACAAAAATAATTTCTTCCCAAGTTTGGATTCTGAAAAGACTTTTTTTCCATATGAAGGAGGCCAAGTAACTGGGTAACATGGAGATCTCCTAACATGAAGGTGGATGAAATGTTGCTGAATTCGAGCCTACCCACAAAAACAGCTGGTAGAAGCACAAATAGAGACCAGGAAGAGGGAGGAATGAAAGCAAGCAGCAGGCTGGTGCAGGAATACCTACAGCAGAGCAGGCAACTGGAAACAGACCCAGGCACAACGAGACAGAAAAGGAACCCACCACAAATCCATTCTGCTTTGCTGACAGATGTGAGCCTACCAGCACCTCTTCCAAATCAGGACAGTGTTAACTGGCCAGTCCAGCAGATGCCAATGCCAGTGTCTTCCAAGAAATATCATTTTGGTGGTTAGTTTCAGAAATAAGTTTGCTTTTAAAATAAAAAAAAATAACCCCAACCCTTTACCCTGGGTAACTGGGTAGAAACTGATACCAGGAAGAGCCACAGAGAGACAAGAGGTGTCAAACCAACCAGGTGCAGCGTAACAGCACGTGCACTTTGAGAGCCCACACATAACAAGAGGTGTCTCAAACCAACCAGCTGCAGCATAACAGCACGTGCACGTTGAGAGCCCACACATATCCATTATCAG